CTTTCTGCTGTTGTTTCTTTACATCAGATGTTATTATTTCAGAGATTTCAGGTGTGTGCTTTCCAGTTTCTTCTATGCTATTGTCTCCTGTATCTGTTCTGGGTGGGCTCATGGACTGAGAATGCATTTTGCTCCTTCTCTTTATCATTTGTATAGCACTTTCTTCTGACCTTTGATGTAGAGCTTTGGTGCAGTTAATATCTTAGCACCAGGTCTGAATCTACCAAGTTCAAACTCATCCAGGTGAGTGTGGCTTGGGTCTGGCTGCTGTGCTCCACTTCTTCCTTCTGCAGCCCTTGGAACTGAACGCACTGTGCCACTCCGACAAGCTGTTCTGCTCCTCAATCAGCTGGGTGGGTCTTGCCTCTAGCCTCTGTGCAGGGAGTTGTGCCACAGGGTTCCACACCGGGCCTGTCTGATGGATGAAGTTACACACACACATCTGGCCTATGCGTTGGCTGGATAAGGACCCAGAGGGCCCTGGGATGCCCCACTTGCAGGCCAGTCCTGAATGCTAGCTGGAATAAGGATCTGGAGGACCCCTGGTTACCCCACTTACACTCCTGGTTTGGGTACCGGTTGGAGTCCTTTGGCCAGTTTTTTACTTGTCTTTTTTCCATATCTCTTCATCCCTCTATGACCAGCAGTCCCTCAATCCTGCCCTCTTTATTTTTAATGCTTATGTTTCATGTGTTCATTTACATTAAAGATAAAATATCCTTCTAGAATCTTCTTATTAAAAGGATAATTGTGCTAACTGTAAAATCTTTAGCTCACATTTCCTTTCCTGGAGTAAATTCAATATGCTACTCCACTATTTTCTGACATAAAATTTCCATACAAAAGCTAATAACAAGGGTCAGGAATATAGCTCCGCAGTGCTGTGCCTGCCTGGCAAGTGCTAGGTTCTGAGTTTGATTCCCAGTACAAAAAAAAAAGCTAATAACAATATGAATTTCTGCATAATTGACTTTATTCAATAATTTAAGAATTTTTTAGTATACATTCTGCATCTATTTTCTTAGTTTTTCAGTATAAGTTTTTAATATGTATTTTCTTTTTATTTTAAGAATTTTTTATTGAAGTACTATTTTAGTATTTGTTCTTTTCCATGATTTGATTTTTCCTTCAATGCTTTGTACTATATTTTTATCTTCTTTGCATACCATTTTCTTTGAAACTCTTCATCCTTTTGGCTTTTACTTAAAATTAATTGCTAGTTTATTAAATTAAATCTTATTCTATAATTCAATTCTTATTTTTATATTTCTTTTAATGCATAATATATACGTTTATTTGTTTGGGGAATCTGTTCTTTTTTTCATTTCTTGAGTGATTATTTTTAATATTAAAGGTTTCCAACTCTTCTTTTTAAATTCTAGCACCTGTCAGTGGGCTCACAGATATATGACTCTTTATAAGATTTTGCACAGTTTATATCATTTTCTTTATTTCTCTTAGTCAGTTTGGATAGTCTGTAGCTTTCTTTATTTGTGCTCATTTCTTGCTAGTGTGCTCTTGTTCTGGAGTATTTTGTTCTCCAGCCTCATTTCTTAGAGTAATTTTTCATGAATGACTCTACTCATTGCTTTTGTACGGCTCCTGTTGAGCTGATTTTTACATACCATAGAAGTCCCTGCCAACCTAGACAACCCAGATTTCCTGGACTCTTGTGTGAGTGGAGGTCGCCCTCCTGTTACTGTCACTGTAAACACTATGCCCCTGGACTTCCTCAGAACACATCCTTCACTTCTGCATCCCACTTTTATCGAAATTGCCTCTTTTGTTCTTCCTGTCAGACCTGTCCCATTTAATTTGCACTTCCCCACTAAGGGCTTCTTCTCAGTAAGGAACACACCCCAAAATGCACCATCATCTCCAGCACTGAGTACTCCATTCCTTTTCCCTCTAAAACATGATAATTTGGGGCTTACACTCACTCTTCTCCACTTACTCTTACTCTCAAATTAGTCTGCCTCATTTCCCAGTGATTGCCTGTTACTTGGGGAAGGTTCTGTATTTCCAGGGCTATCAGAAGCACAGCTGACATTCCTCTGTTTTTTTCCACGCAGTTGCCAATACCACAGCACTCTGGCAGTTTGTGGAAACGAATAGGACTGTGTTGTTATTTACATAGATTGTCTACACTGTTTTAGTTTTGGTTTTGGTTTTTATAGGGAGTTTATATTACAAAATTGTGTTACTTGTACTGTCAACTTCTCAGAATCTAGAAAAGCTTTAAAAATGTAACATATGTTTGGATAATGTGCATAAAAATATATTGAGAACATTTCATGGTCTTCACTGGTATTAGGACTAGATCAGTGTCTGGATTCAAATAAAATGATTAATAATTTTCTAAGAATAAAGTTAATATCAATAGTGGTATGAAATATATCAAGAAATTATGATGACATAAAATTTACTCCATTTGGAAATACTATTAAAGCTAAATGACTTTAACAAGAATGGACAGGTTTAAATTATGGGATTTGTATAACATACATCCATTGGTTCTTCATGTGCAGATTAAACAATGACTGATGGGCTAGGGAGATAGCTCAGTAGAGTAAGTGCCTCCCTGGCAAGTGCAAGGTCCTGAGTTCAATCCCTAGTACTGCAAAACAATAAAAATAAATAAACAACCACAGGTAAAAAAGAAAATTAGGAAAAAATACATACATACCATATACTGACATCATCCTTTAAATAACATAGTATAACAAGCATTTATATAGCACTTTCATTATATTAGGCATGGTCAGTAATCTAGAAATGATTTCATGTGTATGGGAGAATGTATGTAGATTATGTGAAAATATATACCATTTTCTCTAAAGGATTTGAGCATCCACAGATTATGGTGTCTGTTGGAGAGTTCTGAACTAACTCTGAACATGCTGAGAGGCAATCCTAGCATTATGGGAGGCTGAAGTAGGAGGATCACAAGTTTAACCTCACCCTGACCAGTTCAGCAATTTAATGAGACCCTGTCTCAAAATTAAGAAAAAGAGTATAGAACAGGGTGGAGCTCTGAGTTGAATCTGGAGATAGAGATGGAGATCTGGACAGGGAGGGTGATGGAAGGAGAATGGGAAAGTGGGGGCAGAAAGAATGTGGGCACAGAGATGGAGCACAAAGAGGGTAGTGATCTAATCTCTTAAGCTTGAGGAGTTATGAATACAAATAAATAAGTAGCCACTCTCTCAGAATGTTGCAGAGAAGTTGTGCCCATTGAAGAGACTTGGACTCAGGGGCATCATGAAGAAAGAGCTGTCAGTAAAGTAAACAGGTAGTATTAATCATAACTTTAATGTAAGTAAAACATGCAGGTCTGATATAATATTCTGAAGCTAGGAAATATGTCAGATTTAAAAATAATGTACTACTAATAGCAATGTGAATATTCATGCCCCTTGATCTGGCACTATATCCTGAAAATGCATCTTAGATAATTAAATGCATTAAATAGAAGATGACTATTAGCAATAAGCTGGTGCTCGCTATATAGCATGACAGAGTCTAAAATAAAACAAAATCCCACATTGAAAGGAAGTAATGATTTAATAATTGAATAATACTAAGAAAATGACATTGAGTGCATTTGATGAAATAATACAGAGTAGTTCAAGAGTTCTGCAAGACATTTTCTTTTTCTTTTTTCTTTTCTTTCTTTCTTTCTTTCTTTTTTTTTTTT